GTTTTAGTTTTTTTTTTTTTTTTTTTTTCTCCACTCAATGAATATTGGATTCTCTACTGCAGGTTCAGAAAGTCCGGGAGTTGATGCCAACGGAAACTCATTTGATTTCACTACCAAACTGCTCCACCTGGCATGGCACCCGACTGAAAACTCTATTGCCTGTGCTGCTGCAAATAGCTTGTATATGTATTATGCATAAAAAGCCAGTACTCAAATCGGTTAAATTTTTTTGGATCGCAATTAAAGAACAACTCTTTCGCAAGCAAATTGAGGCGCCACAGTTTCTCCCTCATCAAAGTGCCTTGTAAACCTGTAGCACATTCATTGAGTGCTCATCGGGCAGAAGGTTGGTTTTCTTTGGTCGGTTAGCATTTCTGCTTCGCCCTCAATTTCTTTTATTTTTTCTCCATATCTCCTTGAAAGGAAAGATGTGTTTTGTTCTTAGTGTCGGGTCGATGCTAGGTACCATCCTCCAAACAAAAAAGGATGCCATATATTGTCCCGTGGTTTTGTAGTTGAATTCAAATCTTCCTGCTGCTGCTTATTCGCGGGGCATTAAGTTCATAAACTTTTCTTTGGTAGAATAGTGTCCTGTTCTCTCTTTGTAGGATGATTTTGGTATACTTTTGTTATAAATTCTCGTCAAGTATTCTTTTTTGTAAAAGTAATCAAGAATTTGACTTCGATAGATTTGTATATTTTGCATTCAGTCTGGGTTAAGATGTATTGAGCTGTGGCCCGATATGTGCAAAGATCTGTGAAGCTTGCGACAGCTCGGCCCACATTCATGTGGGTTTTTAGTTTAAAAAATGAAACTGTAAAAGCCTGCTTGAGAAGGGGCTCTTTAGACAAATACTCTTAAAATCAGGCCCTTCTGAAAAAGGGAATACCACATAAATCCTACATTTAAAAATTATATTTCAAAATTAACAAACTTCTAAAAACCTTTCAAAAATCAGGTGATAGTTAAATTTATTAAATATTTAATTATAATATAGTATAATTAATCTATTTACCCCATCTAACCTCACCTCCAACCCACCCACGATAACATCAAACCCTTCTCTTTCTTCGTCGATCCCACCCCACCTCCAGCAACAGTTTCGACAAAAATTTTGTGCAATCACTCTGGAGAATATTCCGTTGACCTCCTGACAATGGCTCCGACAATCGTTTCGACACTAGTTGAGTGATCACTCACCTTTCCTCCGACTACCTTTTTTCTGCCTTCTTTCTTTACAATGGCTTGTGACTAATTTCATTAGATTTCATAATATGTGCACATTGTGATTCATGACCAGTTCTATTGAATCTGTGACCTAATCAGTTGGGATGAATATGCATATGATAAATTTCAAAATTAAGAAATAAAGTTTGAAATTTCGCTATTAAAATTTTAGTTATGAAATAGTTATCAAATAAATATTATTGTAATTAAATATATTATATTCACAAATCTTTTTTTCTGTTTTTGGGCAATAACTTGTGTACATTATGATATATAAAATATAATTTTTTATTTCTGATTTGTTACGCATGACTCGTAACATAAAATGTGACATATAAATTTGATATGTAACAAATGTTATTGTTTATTATCAAAACTATGTTATCTGTGATCAAATTTGTATCCAGTGTGACTATTTATGATCAAATCAGTTTAATTTGTGATTATATTTGACCAAGTCACACTTAATTTGGTCACGTACAATGACTAGGTCACACCCATCACAATTAGTACAAAATTGATCACAAAAAGTTAAAATAAACATATAAATGGTTACCACCACCACCAGTATAGCCACTCTAACACCATTACTGCACCACCACCGTTTAATCCAAACACTGCATTTTCAAAATACTTTCCACTTCTCATTGCCGCCATTCGTCCACATCACCACCCGTTCACCACCATCTCCACCAGATCCAACAAATTGCCGCTACAACTACTCAAACACCACCAAATTAGATTCGCAATTGCCAGCACCGCCACCCATTTCCACCATCTTAACAAATCAACACCACCACCATAAAAAACCAACACTACTTCACCACCATCGCCTCCACTTTAACCGTACCACCATACAACAATCGTTTCCATACACACATAACATCACATGAAAAAATAAATAAATAAATAAATAAAATAAAAAAATTTCATTCAAAAATTTGAATAGATTGTTGAATATATGATGACTTCCTATGCTAATAACTGAAAGAACGCTACAAGTGAAGAGTATACTAGTGGTAGTGGATATAAACTTAGATTCAGATGAAGAAGGAATGGGAGAAGGAAATAATAACTTTGTCGAAGGTGGGTGGAGGATTTGGCGGATCCAACATCAAATTCCGGTTGGCGAAAAAAGTTGGGGTTGCGACTGCTGCACTTGGTGATGGAGGGAATACTAAATAGGTGATGATCATCATACCGATTGGTTTGAAGGGGGTGCCAATCGACAAGGGGGTTGTCGAATTTCATTCTTCTCTTGTTCCATTCCGCTTTCTGCTTTGAAAATAGATACAGAGATGGCTCCACCATGGTTCTGTTCCCTTTTCTCCTTTACAAATAGAGAGAGAATTTATTATTTATTTATTTATTGATTTTAAACGCTTGAATCTTGTAAAAATTTCTTAATCACCTTCTTTTTTATAATTAAATCTTGAACTCCTGGTTTTAGATAATTTTCCCTTTGAAAAATCATATGAAAATTACTTTGGAACAAAAATTGTGTGAAGTTGGATATTTTTAATTAAAAAGCTTTTGTAACATTCTCTTCACAAAATTGTCGCATATAGTTTTCTCTTAAAAAATACTTAGAAAATAAATATTTTGGCTTATTCGAAAATAAGACAAACAATCATAATAAACAAATTCAAATTACACCATAATGCATTGTGTCAAGAGTGAGACAATATATCACTTTTTTCTAACTTTAGGGCTTGTTTTATTTCCATTAATTTGTTTTATAGTCTGGTACATGATCATTTTCAACAACATATTCACACAATAAAATATTTTACACCTTCTCTAAAAAAATTTCTATCTTTTAACCACGCATTATCGTAAAAATAATATTCAAAACTCATTTTCTTTGCAATTAAAGGGAATCAAACATGTATTCAATTCACATCTAACATAAAAATAAGAATTAAATGTCAATTTAAATGATAGTTATAAGCATGTTTGGGGATTAACCAGATATTTTATGTTAAAACGTGAAATTACATATGTGACATGTTAACTGAAAAGTGACCAATAATGTGACTTAACCAATAGCAAATGATTGAATTCCGGTGACACAGACGTGGTCCATACCATATCACACAGAGTCCGAGCCATCCACCACCTAACCTCGCAAGAGTTCTTTGCATTTTGGTACAGTGCCTTGATGACTGTATTTCACTTAGGAACTCCTAGTTTTACCTGTAAAAGATTTTGTTCATGCCTCGTATACCTTTTTAAGCATTCGTTTCTATTTTATGCTCTGGATTCTTTGCCTATGTTATACCGCAGGTAGCTCAAGAAATTGAATCCGAATTTGGTATGGAGTAATCACTTTGGAGGAAGATCTCTTGTGCGCAGAAGTATACAGGCGGTGGGGGGAACCTGTGATCCAATTGAGGCATAACCCGCGATTTACCCATTCCAAGGTTCTAGGGGTAAGGATCTTGAGGGTTCAGGATTTAGTCTAGTGTAAGTTGGGATACCTGGATATCAAAAAAAAAAAAAAAAAAGAAAGAAATTGAATCCGAAGATAAATACGAAATTATTCTCTCAACCATCAACTGTACAGAACCTGAATCTGAATTGAGCCTCAACTGATTACTGATATTACATAGACTAATTGCTGGAAAAGTAGATGCCGGAGTTGGCAACCTCTTTTCCTTCTGAATTGTGACTTAATAGACAGTGCACGTGATCACTCTTTTAGGCAAGGCAATATGCGAGAAGAATTTGGTGGTTCATTTAATTCATCCTTTTTTTTTTGATGGAAAAAACAATCTTGCAAATTACAGATTGTAGTAACCTTATTGTTCAAAATCAATTTGGAACCACTTCATGTAGGGATGATTGAAAACTATAAAAACATGATAGTATTCATCCCTAAACATATGAAAAATCATTCTATTATTCATCCAATAATTGAAGAAATTTAGTTTCTTTATATAATCAAATTTCATTTTTTTCTTGTTCACTTTGAATAATTACTTTGGTTTTGGTGTTCTTCGTTAAGACTTGATAAATTCTAAAAACTATTTGCCATTTTAATCCTTAAAAGAATTGTAAGAGGAGGTAAATATCGTTTATGACAACGTTTTTATTTCGTGTTCAAGTCTTCTTCATATATACATTCATCTTCCTCTTCTTTGCTTTCTCCATTGGAGTATTATTTTTCAACATTTTCAAACGATATTCTTCATTTTAATGCAATGGAGACGGAAATTACACTTGCTACCATAAAGTTGGCGAATCAAAATTTGGTGTTCTTGGATAGATTTGATAGATCTAACTTCACAAGATGGTAAGACAAACTCAAATTCCTTCTAACAACATTAAAAATCTTCCATGTGCTTGGTCCAAACTTGAAACCAATTGCTGATGCAATAGAAAAGGATACTAAAGAAGTTCGTGCCAAAAGAAAGAAAGGGGAAGAGGACAAACTGCTATGTCGCGATTCTTAAATGCTTTCTCGAATCGATTATATGACCTTTATACCAACAACACTTCAGCAAGGGAATCTGGAATGCACTTGAAAATAAATATAAGGCCAAGGAGGAATGTACCAAGAATTTTTTAATTTCTAAATATTTTGATTTCAAAATATTTGATAATATTCCTTTGTTGCTTCAAATACATGAATTGCAAATCATTATCAACAAATTAAAAGCGGTGAAAATCGAACTTTCCAATTCCTTTCAAGTGGGAGCAATTATTGCTAAACTCTTGGGAACTTGAAATGACATAGGAAGAAAATTTTCCACAATTCCAAAGATTTTTTCTTTGGAAGATATTCAAAAACATTTTCACATAGAAGACGGATCAAGGGCAAGAGATAAAACCGAAAGTTCTTTTGATGGCTCTTCAAAAATCAATGCCGTGGAAAATGTGGAGAACTTCAACAAGTATAAAAAAAAAGAAAAATCTCTTGGTCCAAAAAAGGATCAACGGAAGTTCAAAACCAAGTCCAAATGATCTTGCTATGTTCGTGAAAATTGGGACACTATACAAGAAATTGCTGGCATAAAAAAAAACAAACAAACAAACAAACAAACAAACAAACAAAACAAAAGAAGGAATGACAAGTAAAATTTATTGATGAGACTATTGCTATGGTGAGTGAAATCAATGCACTCCAAGACAAAATTCCGAGTTGGTGGTATGATAACTATTAAACTATCCATGTTTGTTGTGATAAGTCTCTTTTCAAAACTTGTTATGACATTAAAGATGGTCAAGAAATCCAAATAAGAAATGAAGAAAAATCTAAAGTGCAATGACAAAGGAAATGTGAAAATTACTTTCACTTCAGGAAAGAATATTACTTTGACAATATCTTTCATGTACCAGAAATAAATAGAAACTTAGCAAGTGGAGTTTTATTATGAAAACCAGGAATTAAATATGTTTTTGAGTCTGAAAAACTTGTACTAACCTATAATGGACATTTTGTTGAAAAAGGCTATTCCACTTAGGGAATGGTCAAAATTTGTATTCTTGAGAATGACTAATAAAAATAAATCTTTTGCTTATGTTATTAAT